CCCAACCGAGAACAATAACGGCTCAATTAGGGGAGCGGGCACACAAAAGGCCAGCAGCTCCCTGCCCACGCTGGCTGTGGCTTCCCAGCCTTCGCCTTCCTCCCCTGCCCCTCCCTTGGCCTTTGGGTCAGTATTTGCAGGGCTCCTCCTCCAGCACCATATTAGGGGGTTCCCTGCTAGCTCGGGGACAGCTCTGGGGGTCTGTGTGATGGCCAGTGGCACCCCATGCTCTTGCCATGAGGCCATTGACCTCCTCGCGCATCCTGAGGCTCCCAGGGGATGTCACCCACATGTGATCACAGACAGAGGGAGAAACCTGTGGGCAGCCTCAGGCTGGGAATGGCTTTGGGGTGTAGGGGAGTGGAACTGGGGAGATGGCTTCCCACATCCCCAGGAGGGGCACAGCTAGAGCCCTTTTCCCAATGAGCCAGCACAGGCAGTGGCCAAGGGACGAGCTGCCAATCTGCTCTGATCTTGCCCTGATTTGTGGGAACCAAATATTCTACCTCTGGGATAAAGATGCACACGCATCGACATGTGTGCTCTACCCTCAAACCAAGGTGTGCAGCTTGGAGTGCTTGACGACAACCCCCCCGTCATTAAACACATCCCCTGGAGTGCCGATGGAGTTGTAGCAGGGAGGAAAAGCAATCCCTATGCACCCCATATCACCCAAAAATGCTCCCAGGACTGTTTCCCCTCCCCAACCCAGCGCAGCTGCTGCCAAACTGGGAGCCATGGAGATTTCTCTGATTTTCCAGTGCTCACTGGCAGATGGAGTCGGTTAAGACTGAGAGTGAGCAGAAAATCAGGGGAAACAGGAGCTGGGGAAAGAAGGGGCCAGGGGCTGCTGCTGTGGAAGATGGTCCCCGGGGCCTCCCGATACCCCCTGTGATGCTGCAGAGACAATTAATTAATGAATAAATTCCCAGGCATGGCCAAGCCATCCTCACTGGGGCACTGGGTCACGGCTGGGGCTGGCGGGAGGTGATAGCATCCCCTTCTGCCCCAGCCCCAGGGTGTCCAGCAGCATCCCATGGTGCCGTGCCAAGCAGGTGGCCTTGCTGGGGGACCAGTTGGGATGCGCCACTGGAGCCAAAGAGCTTTTAATCTGCCTCTTTCCAGGGAAGCTTCTCCCACCGTGACGGCTGCAAAGCAGCCCTGGCCACCAGGAATTTGTCACTATACTCTGGGAAAGCTCCTTCCCGCCAGCTGTCAGCAGCTTAGCCATCTGGGTACAAGCGCCTTGAACCAAGGAGAGCCAAGGTGAGGGGCTACAGGGTCCTGCCCAAGCCCTGAGCAACCCTGCCCAGCACAGGGATGATGCTGGATCAGCCTTGGCACAGCCAAAGAGTGACGCTTGGAGCAGCCCCCTCCAAGGCTTTGGGGAGCGGCTACCTGAGAGGTGGCAGGGTTGGAGGGGATGTTGTTGTCTTTGGGGTCACCAGGATCTCGCTTCTCCTCTTGCTGAGGGCCATGGGGACCTGCCCAGGGGCTCGGGCTGTGCTCCCCGGCCCCTCCTCTGCTGCCCCATCCAGACACCCAAACTGCCCCGTCCTACCTACTGCTGTGCATTCCCCAGCCCTGGGGCATCATCCAACCCCATGGGGCATCCTTGAACCCCAGGGGCCTCATTTTTACCTTATGGGGCATCCTTGAACCCCAGGGGCCTCATCCTGACCCTGTAGAGCATCCTCTGGCTCCAGGAGCATCATCCTCACCCTATAGGGTATCTCCTAACCCCAGGGATGTCATGATGACCATTTAGGGGAAACCCTAACCCGGAGGCATCATCCTGACCCTACTGGGGTCCTCCTAGTCCCAGAGGCATCCCCTTGCTCCACACAAGCTCCTGGGCCCCAGGATGTTTCAGACGGGGCAGGCAGGCTGCCTATACATCCCCAGGGTGGACGCAAGGCTTGCAGATCCCCACTCGGGGCCACAAGAAGGGCTGAGCCTTTGTGGCCTCCCCTTTGTGCCCCAGGATTCACACATTCAGGCTTTTATTCGGCAGCCGGGAAGGAGGAGGGTGAAGGGGGCAGGAGAGGGGGGAGAAGGGCTGGGAAGGGGGGAATGGCGGGAAACGGTGACTCCCTTTGTGTGACTGCAATGGAGACAAGGACTGGGGGACACCCTGCCAGTGCCCCCACTCTGCGTTTTGCCGTCTCAGTGCAGACACCCATTGGCAGCATGAATGAAGGGCTCACGGTTCCCCCAGGCTGGGACACTGTGTCCTCTGGCCCGGACTCCTGGGTCCACGATGGGGCTGATCCCATGGAACGAGGAGCCTCAGGCACCTCCCTCACAGATGGGTAGGTGAGTGGGTGAGGGGCTTTTGCAGTGGGTCTGGGATGCCAGGGCCACAGGATGCTGCCTGGTGCCACAGCAGCCCTGAGCAGAAGGGAAGGGCTGTTATCCCCATCCTACGGTGGGGAACCTGAGGCACCAGCTGCCTGGTTCCCCTATGGGACGCTCCCATAGGAAGCGTTTGTGCCCTGGCCGGGGCCCAGCCACCACAGGAGCCGGCAGCCGCGGGAAGTGAGGCAGCCAACTCTACCTGACATGGGGCAGAGGGCACCAAAAACAGCACAAAAACCTCTGCATTGGAGAACGAGCAGGATAACAGCCCTTTCCGCCACAGCAGAATGAGCTGGTTTGGCCAAATAAACAGATTTGAAGAAAAACAAGAAATTCTGCTGCTGGACAGAAAGCTGCCGGATGCTTGACACAGTAAATGCCATAATTCAGCCAAGAGGAATATGCTGGCTTGCAGTGGGGTGGGAGCAGCCATGCTCCACCCGCGGGGTGTATGGAGGATGCCATGGGCAGCGCAATTCCCGTAGCACCTCATTTGTTGCTTTTCCAGCTTCATTTTTCCTCCTACGCTGGGTTTCCCACTCCTTCCCCCTTCTCTCTGCCCTGCTCGGCTCCTGCCTGCTGCTAAAACCCAGGAGGATGTTGGCATCCGCGGGAGCTAGATCCTGCCCTCGGGCCCAGCCTGGCCCCAAAATGAGCACCAGACCTTTGGCAGTGAAGCATAAAATAAGCATCAGACTCTTCTCAAGGGAAAATGTGTTGTGTATCAAACCCACCGGGCAGGCTCGCAAGGCAGGATCTTATCACAAACAGATAATTTTATACACACATATATATTTTTTTTTTTAATTTATTCAAAGTCCAAAGCTCCCAGCACTCTTTGGAAACCATTTCTTGGCAAGGAAAAGTGTGTTATGATCAGTGGGGGCACCAAATACCCAGAGGTTTGGTCTGGCTAGTGGCATTTGAAAAGTTGTTACTGAAATAATACTGAGAAAGTATTATAACAAGCTGTGTGCCTTGCCTCTGGCTCGGGTGGTTTGGGAGGGCTCAGGGACTGAGCTTTTCCAGTGCTGAGTCCCTGTGGGCATCAGCAATGGGGAGGAAAGCTCCCTGGATGAGGGTCCCATGCCCTGTTTCCAGCTGGGTGTCTCATATCCCATCGCTATCTGGGATACTTCCCATTCCTGGACAGAGTCTTGTACCATTTGCTACTGAGGACACCTGCACAGCCTGGAGGAGCAGAAGCCAGAGGCTGGGGGCTGGAGCGCCCGTGGAGGGGGGCAGTGGTGGGGTGGGAGCAGGCAGGGCTGGGAAGCCAGCGCGGCACAGCCCAGCACAATGAGGCCTTGTGGCCGCCGGCTCTGATGAGAATCGGCCCTGACAGCAGCTCCGCCAACCGGGTCACCCACCCGGCACGGGGCCACACAGCCCCCAGCCCCGGCCTCGCTCACTCAAAGAGAGGAACCCCAAACTGACCCACCCTGGGAAACATGGGGATGCAGCATTTAGAAATACCACTATAGATAATATATATAAATACCAATATATATAATACCAATGTATCTAATTTATACAAATAGTAGGGCTGTATCCAGCCCCTCCAGTTGGTGCTGGTGCAGGGGGAGGCAGAGCTTTCCACAACAGCACACAATGGCACCAGCACTTGCCTGCAGCACCCATTGGTGAACATCCCACTCAGCTTTTTAAAAAAAGGAGACACACATGCTACAAATACAGCTTAGTTTATAAAAAAAGAAGTCACAAATTTGGTATCGTTATAACTTTAGTGCACATACGATGCCCCCAACCCCCATGGTCAAAAATTCCCCCCAACTGCCATGGCGTTCCCCACCTCCAGCAATCTGGCATGGTGGGACCTGGCAGCCACCGCAAGGCAATGGTTCTGGCTGGCGGTGATGAGTGGCACGGCCCTGGGCTGGTGGTGATGGTGGCATGTCCCGACCTCTCCCTGCTCCCACGGCACCCTCTGCATGGGTGCTTTGGTCCTGCCTCAGCCATGCCGGGGACACCGCTGCTCCCTGCGCCAGCCTTCCTTCCTCCTTGCCATCCCCCTTGCTCTCTTCGGCCTCGCTTCTCTTCCTCAGCATCCTCCTCGTGGCTCCTGCCCATGCCTTGCATCGCAGGCAGGACCAGGGCAAGGCTTGCCACTGCCCTGCTCCCCCATCCACACTCCAACATTGCAAATCCACCTTCTGGCTCTTCTGCACCCCACCATGTCCTCAGC